GTGCAACTGGGACGTAGGTCCTACATTCTCAGTCCTATGGTACCGGGCTGCGGCGATTTTTTTCTATCGGTATTGATGGTATTGAACAGTTTAACATCTGTACTACATTTTTCATTTTTATCGGAAAAGTGTGAAGTGGAAGTGTCACAGATTGAGAGCTCAATTATGCGCATTACTATCTCTGCGTTGGATTAGCGCAACTTACCTTCAGCAAATACAGGGGGCGAATTCCGATGACTTTGGCAGCTAGGAGGCGGAGCAACTATCGCTGCGCTGGTTTCTCTCTGCAGGGCATCGGTCGGAGGCGTCGAATGCGTGGAGAAGGCTTTGCCAATCGACGGCGTGAGTTTCCGTCTTCCTCCAACGCACCGGTGCGGCAGGTCGAGGTCAGCACAGCACGCTGCCAATGCGCTGCGTAACTAGGGCTGAGGCAGGAGGGGGCACGGCGATAAGGATCCTATTGCTGATAATCAGTGGCATTGTTGTCCTCCCAGTTTTAACCTCTTGACCTGTTTTTGCGCTTCTCGTGGTTTCGCACGGCCGTCTGACAGTGCTTCGCCTGCCCCTACGTCCCATTTGTCGCTCGTCCAAGTTCCCGCTGAGGTCGCTTTTGTCCGGGCGAGGGCGCGTCGGTTCGTCGCCTTGATTCAGGGCCGCGCAACGTCTGTACACTGAGTACACATGTCTCTGGTCCTCGGACGTCGCATAAAACCGATCTATTTTATTTTAATGGAGAGAAAATATTTTCTCATACCTAAAAATGTCTATATTTTTCAACGTTTTCGGTTCCTGGAATGCCAACTGACGAGTTAAGGATGTAAGTCACCAATGCTATTGTATGTGTGGGACTTACTTCTCTCCTCCCTTCTAGATCACTTCTCCCATCATCACGTAATATATTGATAAATAATAATTCAGTGTAATTACGTACGAGAAACCACGAACCGAAGAAAAACGTTTCGTTTACATCTGATTGTGATCACTGCCACCCGTGCTAGTTTGGGAAGGTGGAACGAATTGGGCGAATCTATCACATTTCCCCGGAGTGTGCTATTAATGCCCTCTTCTTTCTTGAGGAAGTGACCCCTGTTTTTGGGTGGTGTTTTGCTTTTGCCTTCCTCTACATGAAGGAAGGTAGAGTGAGTACAGGGACTGTTCGTTGCACGCTCGCACTATTACGCAACTTTCAAATAATAGAAATTAATGTTTGCTTTACTTTTAACGATATTAAATATTCAAGATATTGCAGCAATATCCACGTATACGATATCGTGTTGCAATGAAAGAGCGCCTATTGGGCGTTTCTGCGGAGTCTGGTGCTCTCGTCCAGGCAATGCACAAGTCACGCTCTTTTACTGCGTTTACTCTTTGTGCTTCTGATTCAACGTGGGTCCTTGGTGGTGTTCGAACAGCAACCAGCCACCAGATGTACAGCGTAAAAGGTTGGGCGGCCTGGTTAGAGCGCGGTGGGGCATCTGTGGGGAATACCAATTTTCTTTCTTCACGTGTCACCGGCTCCAACTTAATTTTATGTATTTCACGTGTTAGTGTAAGCACACAAAATCAATCTTTGACAATACTGAAGGCATTATTTATGGTGTTTGGAGAAATTCTTTTCATTTCATGTGAGCTGTGTTGATTCAAAATGTCCTTCGTGTATCGTTAATGTGTCCCTCCGTCGTTCTGGGAGGAAGTCCCTTTGTGTCTCTCACGGTGTGTGCAATAATCTTTCCGGCATCAGCAGAGTCAGAGCATGGTTATGGAAAGGAGTGCATTTGGAAGATCTTTCATTATTGCAATTTATACCAGGATAGTGAAATTCGAAATGTAATTTTATTTCGTTACCATCATCGCTAGTAGCAGAAGTAACAACCAGAATCATGAAATGAACTATGGAAAAACGTTTGCAGGCAATGGTGCTTGTCGCAAAGTCTTTAGAGTGCGATCACCGTAGTTTTGAAACTTAAGTTTTTTTGTTTTGTGTGTGAATTTTGATCAATTGCCGGCAATTGTCTCCATGCAGAACGAAAGCAAAAACACGTATGGCCACTGATAAAATAAGCTAATACCAGGTGTGGAGGAAGCAAACACACCTGACTCCGACATTATTTCAATATATACTGTTATTAAACGTAGTTTTCATTACTTTCTTATAAATAAGAATGTTTTCCATTCTTATTCAATGTTGTTTCCCCATGCGGTCCCGAATATCTCCCATTCGATGGTTGTCTACTCTAGTATTACAATCATTACTAATTGCCTTTCTGTTAATCTTATTCACTTGTTTTTGTAGAGTTTGATAAAATTATTTGTTTAATTCTTTCCTCCTATCTTGTAAATGCTGAATATTACAAGGTATCACGTTATTTTAAGCCAGATGTACATAATTCTTTCATTCACGAAATTGTAAAACGTATTTTTGTTTTTCAAGCTTTCTTGATCAGATGCTCTTTGTGTCCTTGGGACACCTGAGTAATATAATAGGTAAATTTGTTGGTACATATTTCCCTTTAACGTTTTCTTTGTTTCTGTTATAACTACAATGTCTACGTCTAATCTTTGAAGTTCACTAACGAAATCCGCTCCTTTGTATGATAATCCGCCAACATTACCTGTGGATATATTCCATGATTCCGAGTCCTTAATTTGTTTAGCCTTGTTGCCCTTAGCATTTGTCTTCATATTAGATGATGAGGATTGTAAGAGGATTGTCAGTAGTCATGTGACCCCTGGCCGCGTTACGAGCGCTGCGCAGGCTAAGCACGGTGATAGGACCTTACTGCTCCGAGCCTGCAGTCACAGAAATCCCAAGTGAAGGATGATTAGAAGAGAGAAGATGTAGTAATAGATAAGTGGGAGAAGATAAATGACTTCCTAGGCTTTCGATCTCTAATCGCTTCGGGGTCGAAACAAACAAGGGAGACCGATAGGAAAGATATAAGACGTGTGGCGTAAGTTAGAGGAGATGGTGTAACACTTGAAGAAAAGGCAGCACAGATGATTCCAGTGTATATCTGTGCGGGTTAGGAGAATGTATTGGACAGATACTGAGAATGATAGGACGTTGTGAAACCTTTCGCCAAGACCACCGGCATAGCTTTAAACATCGACAGAGTGCTCAAACCTCCTCGCCCGCACGAAAAGTGATACTTTAAGGCAGTATCTCCGGGAGGAGAGGCAACTTTACTTTCTATTGTACAGTGTTAGTTTATATCTTGTTCATCGTGTGTGAGCTATCATGGCTTCAAGGCAATCGAGGCACTCGGCACGTTTGACACAAACGAACTGGAAGAAGCAGTAAATTCTGATGAATACGTCTGTTTATCAAAATTTCTGGAATTAATAGGATCCTACAGATGAAGAAATATTCTCTGAGACTGTTGATCATATTTCCATTCCATCAGATGACGATACTGCAAACCTGAATTCGGAAATAATGTTATCGAAGGACAAGCAAATAGAGCGGACTTCTGATCCATCCTCGAGGACAACGTGGAAGATTTTTTGCTCACAATATTCTTACTTTGATCCTCGGACTTTCTAGTTACGCCACCTCGAGGGTGAGAAATGAATTTACAACCAGCTTATAGCATTGTTTTTCCACCATCAATTGAGAATATTGTTTTGACAAAAAACAACATAGAAAGTCGTCTGATATACACTGGGGAAACTTGAATGCCCAGAATTTGTATTCTTATCTCGCTTTATTAATTTTAGCTGTGGTTTTCAAATCCCAGAATGAATCTACAGAAAGTTAATGGGATGCTGAAAAAGGTAGAGCAAATATTCGTACAACAATGTCTTTGGAACATTACAAAATAATTTAAAGAGTGATAAGATTTAAAGATGAAGATAAAAAACACGAACCAATAGAAAAGCCCGGGAATAATTTGCGGCTATTTGAGAAGTTTGACACAAATGTGAGAGTTGATGCACAGTTGGTTGCGTTTCGAGGAAGATGTCCACGGCAAATAAGCCCGCACGTTGTGGAATAATGTTTTGGGTTTATATAATAATAACAAATCTTAGTGTGGAGTATTCAGCATAATATAGAGAAATCTGAAGAAAAAAAACCATCAAGGAATGCGTGTAGCAGTACATTTGTCTCGTGAATTGAAAGGTGACATTACTTGTGGTAATATTTTCTCCTCTGGGTCAAATATTACTTAGGAGAAATTAAACACGAATTAGCACAATGAAAACAAAGAAGGTCCTATTCTTTTGCAACTATTGCAGACAAAAATATCCATGATGATTTAAAAATTTGCATTTAATCAATCATCAAAAAATCAATAATTGTGTAGTGCTGCAGAGTAGGTGCATTACATATGGACAAAGGATTGAGTAAGAAAAAATAAGACGTCCATAATAATACTTGTCTACAATATAACAAAAGAAGCAGATACATTGGGCAGGGATATTATATGTTATACAACGAAAGTAATTCCTACCCTTGATTACTTATTGTCTTTTTCAATATGATAGATTATTGGTTTTTACAATGCCTATATTTTCACACGAACGTTACTGATAATTGGGGGCCAAAATATTTCGAAAAAGACTATGCTTTTCAGGAAATCTGGGGATGTCGTTGGTGAAACAACAAATAGAAAGAAGAAATTACTTTCCTAGAGCAAAAGCAAGAAGAAATGTTGAAAAAATAAAATCTACGGCAGAGTTTTTCCAAGATAATGCCTCGGCGACCGAGTCAAAAGAGAGGAAGATGCCATTTATGTCAGAAAACGGAGAATAAGAGATCAATTATGTGTTGTAAGTGTAACCGATATTGTTGCATGAAATATTTACAGCAAGTGTGGAAACAATGTTATCAGTATAATACATTTTTCATTGTTTTGGAATAAATTTATTTTAAATTCATGTGTTTGGTATACTATATTTAGTATATCAGTAACGTCTACGTCTACACATACATCTATCTCTATGTATTGTAATGCCCATCACTCCGTCGTGATATGTCGGGCGCCAGGTTCAGTTCCTGTAACGAATGGATGGAAGTGAAGGGAGGTCAAAAATCAGTCCATTGAATCGTTTCTGACAAAATTAATTTATTCCTGCACCATGAGCTGCAAGGGAAGTACAGTCACTAGAGAGCGACACATTACATTGCAAAACTTACGTTACGAGCTCATAACCTTAACAGTTAATGAACCAAATTTCTAACACTAACATTAATTACTTATTTCTAAAACAATTCATGCATATTTTTAACTACCAATACACAAGGTCTGAGCGCGGCCACTCTAGTCTCTCGCCAAAATGTCCTGCAAGTGAGCCCCGCGTCATAACTACGGGAGATAGTTCGACGTCGGTTAAATACCGGATATTCACCACTGGCTGGCCGTGCGCCGCCCAGACCCGCGCCGGGGATGGCGGTCCTCATTTCGAAGACGGCGCGGGCGGCCTCAGGTTCACGGACCTCCACTGGGTGTCCTCCTCTGCTGCAGCGTGTCTCGCGGCGACAAGAAGTCGTCAAATCGTGGTCGGACCAGTATTGAGACACAGCAGTACTGGCCGTAGTTTAGTGCGAGGCTTGAATGGGCCCGATATGGCACTAGGCAGCTGGATTGCAGATCATCTTAGCCGAAATGTCACGCAGGACATCTTTGCCCCACTCTCTGTGCAGTGCAGTGGCATGAAGTGCTAGTGAGTGCGACTGAGATAGAAACGACCGTGAGTAAGAAAGACATTACAGCTCGCTTGTATCGCAGTGCCGGTTGAAGTGTGGTTGAAGTGAAGCTTTCGGTGAAGCTGGATTTTATGAAAGCGTGCAACGGCTGAATGTTCCATGAGATTTGTAACGTCTGTAGGTTTGTATCGATTGTTATTCTTTAATGTAGTAAGGTATTCTTGCCACAAGTTTCTCACACCATTAATTTGCAGATTATTAATAAATTTTATCTAAATTCTAATCGAATCTCCCGCACAAGTGTCCTTCCGCCAAGGTAATTTTAAAATGTGCTATTTCAGAGAAATCTGACTTCTAAGTCTAGTTCTCTGCACATTCTTCGCGTCCAAGTTACTCCCCGGTTAATTTCAAAAGCTGCTTATTCGAAATCTGCTTAAAAGTGTCTATTCGAGAATCTAAATTCTAAGTGTAGTTTCTCTGCAACATCTCGACGTCCAAGTTACCTCCGTTCCCCCTCCCCTCAAAACGTTTCCGAACTGCAATCTGCCCTTCCCTTCACGATGACAGCGGTCCCCATAGCCAAACTAAACTGCGTCTTAATTTGATTCTCCAATCGGGTGCAGCTCGTTTACGGAAATTTAGGTCCGGACGATCTCTCTACCCTCGGCCCCTCCTTCTCTCTCTCTCTCTCTCTCTCTCTCTCTCTCTCTGTTGAGCGATCCAGAAGCTTCTTCACGCAGCTGTCCGAACACTTTTCGACGTTGCGTTTTTTTCTGGCCATAAATTTGTCAGCGAGCTGATCGGCACCATCGACTGTTGAGTTGTAAATAACCCCTTTGGGAATTTGGATTCCTGGCGCGGGCGAGTGGCAAAAGGGGACGCGGGCGCGTATTGTTGGTCTTGAGTGCCCGCTGGCTCCGGGAAGGGAGGCAGCGGGAGCGTCTATGACGGGTCATAAATGTGTCCGCAACTAAGAGGCACCCTCATCAGCGGTCGGTCGGGCAGCTGTCAACGCGTGTCCGCGGCCTGGCGGTCGTTAGGGCCCTTCGCAACAAAAGCCCCTTCCCGCGACCTACTTAACTGTGATGGGAGCTATTTCGATATGAAATTATTATAATATTATTTGGTGACGCCACAGTATATCTACATCTATATCTGTCTGTCTATGTCTATATCTATATATCTGCATCTACACCTACATCTACACTAACACCTACCTATCTATGTATCTCTCTATCTATATATACATATATATAGTCATATTTATCTCTCTATGTATATAAATGATATCTCTATATATAAATGTTTGATTAAATACTATATAAATATCTCCGGCCCTCACCTAACCACCTAGCCCCCCTTTAGGCAGCTCATGGGGGTGCCGAAGTAATGCACGTAAGGGCTTTTATGATCTCAGGTAGAAGGATCTTTCGGGTGTGAGAAAGTATATCAAAGACAC